GTGAGAGATGGTGTCAAATGCTTTACTGAAAATCAGGTAAACCATGTCCACTCATTGCTGCTATCTTGTGCAGAGATTTCTATATACTCTTGATTTACACTCCTTTAGTGTTCCCTCTGTAAATAGTGTTAAAAGGAAGTTTTTGGTTCCTATTGTATCTTCTCTCACCTGTATAATTGCCGTCAGACAACCAAATATGCCTTTTCATGGAAGAAAGCAGGGATAGAACTTCTGTTAGCCCTTGTTCCTCTCAGTATTGCACCACACTGACCACGTAAACTCCAAACTCTGACTTCTCCGAAGTTGGGGAATGTTGCTGCAACAGTGCACAGGAGCAGAGCGCACTACCCTGCAGTGCTGCACTGCTGAGGTGGCTGCCCAGGGACGTGACAGGGTTAATACCCAGTCTGGGAATGCAGGGGGTGCTTTAGTTCTCCTTTCTGTATTGACACTGCATCCAGCTCAGGGCTACACAGTGTTCTTCCAGATGTCTGGGGTGATAGATTTATCAGACTTTATGATGAGTTTAAGATGTTATTAATATACAGGATTTACCTGATGCATTTGCTTTCAAAAGCATTGAGAGGTTTGTGTGAGATTTTCCTAGATCTGTCTGTCAGCTCTGCATATTGGAACAGAAACTGCATTTGAGACCAGAATTTATACTTTACAGCTTTAAACTACATTTTTTTGGTATCCTATGCCTGTTAAATCTGGTGATTGCAACAGCTGCTTTACCAACTTGTGATTTCAGTTTTGTTTTTTTTATGCATATGAATTTACTCCCTTCTTGTTCTCCTTTGCTTTGAAAAAAACCTACTTCTTAGCTTGACTTCTGATAACTCCACTTTTAATTGCACATGCGTTTCTCGGGGAACCAGATGATCTTCTGATCTTTGTATACCTGTAGGTTTAGCTTCCATTACATAAATTTTTTTACTTTCTTTGAAACTACATGATGCCTAGGTTATTGCATCCATGAACTCTCCTCTAAAAATAAATTAGTAGCAGTGCCGGACGGAAGAAGTGAGTTCATAGTTGTTTTAAACCACTTATGTCTAGATTCACTTTTAACTGCTTGTTTCGGTAAAACTGTAATAATTGTACTTAAGGGGGGGAAATTGACAGTACCTTTTGGTTGCAGTCCTTTCTTCCCCAATAATATTTGAATTTGTGACATGCATTGTATTATCAGTAGTTAGCAGTCTTTTGTTGCTCACACAGTCTCAGTTTGCCAGGCTTATAGTCCAAGTAAGCCTCTCATAAGAAGATCTCACGTAATTTAGAAAAAAAGTAGAGGAGTGAAATAGTCTTTCAAACCATTGCTCCTCAAGAATGCCTTTGCAGTTCATAGACCCTTACATTTCTGAGCGCATGATGGATTAAAGCCTGCCTACGTAATTTCAAGCTGCTGATCAATTCAGTGCTGTTGTACTTGCCAGGAGAGGTCTTTGAAAGATGAGGGAGGCCTGTGCCCGGTGACTTTCAGGGCTGGGTTATGGTGGGGGTTGTTCCTCGTTCTGTTTCTTCCTCTTTCGTAGGATCTGACAAAGCCCCGGGGTTACCTGTGGAACTAATCTCCTTCACTGGGGTCTGAGAAGTATTTTACTTCCTCAGGTACTGCAGTTGCTTAACTCGGCTTTATTTCGTACTTAAACTGTAAAGGCCATTTTTCTGGAGACGCCTCTCCTTTGGTGCTTTGAAGTGTTTGGTGACTTGTTGGTCTTCTCTCAAGCTTTAGAAGAGTCCCCTGTAAGGTTTTCTCTTGCTTTTTTGCTGTGTCTCCTTTATTTGTGAGAAGTTCTGACGCTCGTGCTGGGTGGTTTTAATCTTTTTGTCTAGGCTAACAATTGCTGTAGGGCTTTGTCTCCCTAGCACCTGTGCTACCTATTGAGCTCTATTTCTTTCTGTTGTTCTGTTGGCTTTCCTGTTCATCCTTAACAGGTCCCTCTGGCTGATGTAAACTTGCCCGTTAGAACAGCATTGAGTTGATAAAACATCTTCCTATCACCTATTTCAGTAGAAATCGCTTTATCTTTTCCTTTATACAAATATTTTTCTACTTCTTAGTGGGGAGCAGGAGTTTGCAGTATCTTGATTCCTTTTTTTGTGCAGTTCTGTTTCTGCAGTTATTGTGCTATCTTTGATAGTTTTGGACAGCATGACCATTGCATGACAGCTAGACAGATCTGTGTCCTCTCTGGATTCCTTCTGCAATTGCTGCTGAAACATACCTTAGCTTTTTGCAGTAGTTTTTGTTAGTGGGCTACAAATTTCTTTAAGTTTGAACCATAAGTGGATTTTTTGGAGGAGAATTTCCGTTACTCCTGTTGTCAGTCACTATATGTCCTCTGGCATCTTAAAGTGTTTAATTTTCTCTCAGTATGTAGACAAGCAGTCTGGTTCCAGGTGACTCCCTTTGATGAAGTCCAAGGTAGTATATTGTATTTATCTATATGAGAGCAGTGCTGTGTTAAGCAAAAGTTTCTGTAGCAATCATGGTTTTACCAATTTGTTAGCATTCTAACATGACAAGCTGGCATCTTGCTGTTTCATTCTTCTTAAAAATTTGTTTTTGAAGAGTTTTTACATTAAAAGGTATTTAAGAACCATTGTCCAATAACAGATAACTGTAGGCTGGGTTTTTGTTCTCTTCATGGTTAGCTGTCTTGCGTGCAATGTTGCCTGACAGGTTTATGCATTTTGTTTGAAACTTATCTTGATGCAATTAGGGTGTAATTCGTTCCTGGGGTGAAATTAATTTCTTTCTTTGTATTCTCTCTGATTATTAGGCACCTTGCCACCTTAAATGTTTTATAACTATCTGATTTTGAGGGGCTTTTGTGTGCATTTGCAACTGGTGTTTATTAGTTAGATGTACAGATTTTGCCACTGCAACCATTTTTTTTCTGTACAGAAACGCTGGTTTTGAAATTTCACTGCCAAGTTCAGCCAAGTTTGCCTCAAAAAACATTTAGATTTGTAGAGGTTTTTGCAAGTACATTAGCAGGCACATGAAGAGAAAATTAGCAGATGACTATCTTCTCTCTTCTCCCCACTACTCAGGGCTTTATTTGGTTGAGCTGCTGCTATTCAGATATTTGTGATACTTTATACTCAGTTTGGGGTGTTTGAAATGAGGAGAAGGTGGGGAAATCATGGAGGAGAGAGAGTTGAGATCATTGTTTAGGTAAAGCAAACTAGGGCAATTATATAGGAAATTAGTCTTTATTGGTTCTGCTCTTGCAGAACAACTTTGTTAAAGCCAAAGAATTTTAGTTTGCTTTCTTAATAACTTTTTGCGAGACTTGTCGCATTACATTGGCTATTGTTTTCGTGAATTAGTATATTCTTGTCTCCGTGTGTGATAGAGCACTTCTGATTCACTCTCAATTTCTGTGTTTTGCTCTCTGAAGAGATCTGGGTCAGCCCGGAGGGAAAGATGGCTCCCTCTTTGGGGAGCAAATAGGCAAGTTTCAGAAGACAGCACATGGAGGAAAAAGGGTTTAGGGGTCAGAGCAAAAGGCTGGGAGTTTTTAATGTTGTCTCTCTGACACACAAAGATTGCAAGAAGGAGCAGAGGGCAGATAGCCAAGATTTAGAAATTACAGAAAATGACCCATCAATGTGCAACAAAGATCAGAATTTGTTACAACTCAGAAAACCAGGAGCTGGCCCTCACCAAGGCTGCAATCAAAGAACCATCTGCAAGGATAAACAGGGCAGGGTTTGGTTTATAAACTCTGTTTTTCTGAGTTTTCTCTGTTTAACAAGTTAAACAGTCTGGACTGTATTGAGGAAGACAGATGTTATTCACGTTTAAAAGCCTTTTTTAGCCATTTTTTGGGAAGCTCAGGGTAAGAGAAAAGGTCTGAGAAGGTCTGCCTCAAAGCTCTGTTTGACTTTGGATTTGATCACATTCTGTAATGTAGGTTTTAGCCATTGCTCAGTCCCCTACCTCCAGAAGCAATGAAGTGTTTTCACTGAATCTTCCCATATTTTACTTGTCTGGGATCAGACAGCGTTAGCAGTCATTTAGATGTCAGCTGCTGTGAGAGAATGAATGTGACAAGAGTCAAAAAAAGCGCCATATGGTGGACGCAGAAGACTGTGCTGTCAACAGGGAGGGCATGGATGTTGGGGAGATACTGGGCTTCTTGATGGGAACACCACAGGAGTTTTTGATTATGGATGATACCGTGAAGCATTTTATCACCATTGCGTTGTAATATCTCCCCTGTGGGTTCTCCTGCTGGGAACCGGTTCTGCGTAGGATTTTATTTGGTTTTAGCTGCTGCTGTTGGAATCTGAGACATGGGCTGCATCAAAAGAGGTGTGGCCTGCAGGTCAAGGGAGGTGATTCTCTCCCGCTGCTCTGGTCTTGTGAGACCCCACGTGCAGCCCTGTGTCCTCAGCACAAGAAAGACATGGAGCTATTGAAGCGGGTCCAGAGGAGGGCCACAGAAATGATCAGAGAGGACTGGAACAAGTCTCCTATAAGGGAAGGCTGAGAGTGTTGACGTGGTTCAGCCTGCACAAGAGAAGAGTCTGGGAAGACCCTGTTGTGGCCTTTTAGTGCTTAAAGGGAGAGTATAAGAAAGATGGGGACAATCTTTGTAGCAGACACTGTTGGGATAGGGCAGGCAAGGAGTAATGGTTTTAAACTAAAAGAGAGTGATTTAGACTAGATATAAGGAAGAAATGATGTAAGGAAGAAAATCTTTACAGCGAGGGTGGTGAAACACTGGAACAGGTTGCCTAGCGAGGTGACAGAAGCCCCATCCCTGGAAACGTTCAAGGTCAGGTTGGATGAGGCTCTGAGCAACCTGATGTAGTGAAAGCTGTCCCTGCTCCCTGCAGGGCGGTTGGACTAGATGACCTCTAAAGGTCCCTTCCAGACCAACACATTCTATAGCAGCATATACCATCAGACTGCAGAAGGATAAGGTTACAAAATGTATTTTTATATTTAATGCTTCCCCCTTCTCCCCTCTAAATCCTCCTTTGCTGCTTCAGCTTCTCATTTGCCATTTTATGCTCTTTTCTTAAGCTGGAATCTCTTTCTGTTAATCTGAGATCTTAATTTAAAAGTTTTGGTGCTTCCTCCCCTACTCTCTTGCCACTTTCTTTAGGGTTGAGGACACACTGTTCATATTAGGGCAGGAAATACTTTGTGAAGTGGATGCTGAGCCAAAATGCAGGACACCCCAAACTGAAGCTGACCATCTTTTTTAAATTTTCCCCTGCAGTTAGAGACCTCTGGTTTTGGCTGACTGGTTTCTTTTTAATTTTTTTAAGTTCACTTGGAGGGATACAGCCTGATTCTAAGCCTATTGAAATAAACTTGTCATTTGGGAAAGGGTTAGCTCTTCCTTTGTCGTAATGTACATTCTGTACATGCATAGCTAAGAGACAGTTACGCCCTTCTGTGTGTGTGGGAGGATGCCAAGGAAGAACACTGCCTTGAAGTACTCATCTGCAGTGTCAGACTGAACAGTTGCAATTACATTTAGACTAAGTAGATAGTTTATTCTGAAGCTTAATTTATGATTGCACTTCAATGAATCATGTATTGGAGCAAGTTAGTACTTTTAACGCAGCATAGTGAGACTGAATATATCCGTTAGTGGAAGCAAATAAAAATCAGAGTGATATGAAATGAGAGTGCTGGGAAATATGATTAGATATATCTGTTGAGGTTTCTAAAGATTACTGCCTGGTCTACAGAGAGCTGGCTAAGTACCTTGCACTGCTTTCTCCTTCCAGCTGTTAATTTGAATGAAAATAAGCTGAAATTAAATATTTCTTAGATAAACAGTCCTGTAGTTAGTCTGATTAATGCTGATTTCTTCATGATTCCCATATATATATAGATCTTAAGATAACCAATTAATATGAAATCTACTTTATTAAAATATGTGACCTAGAATCAAAACCTTAAAATTTCCAGGGAGTTATTTTGATTTTACTCTGTTTAGTACATGGAATACTTCGTTCCATAACTTAGGCTTCCTGGGTGCCACTTTTACCACAAAGATTACTTTTTTAAAATTAACTTTTTCCAAGAGAGAGATCTAGATGTTTCTTCAGGATTGTTTTTTTTCCCCACTTATCCTGTATAATACTCATTAGCAAAACAAGAAGCTGCATACCTACTCTCTTTATGTAAAAATGTTTGTTTACTAAATATAGGCAAATATATATGCACCTAAAAAGGGGGCCAGCTTTCTTTAGTGTATTCATATAAGGAGTAAGTCTGCCCTTAAAGAAAAAACTTAAAAAATCGCTTTTGATGGAAAGTTATGCCATTGACGATTTTGTGTACAGATTTGTATAGCTATTGAATCATGTTGTAGTTAAAACCAAGGTCTTGACTAAACTGTCCTTGCAAATAAAGAAGATAGATTTTTTTTTTTAAAAGGAATCTTTCCACTTGTGAACTAGACTTAAAGAATGGACGCGTATCAGAAAAGGAGAGATCTTGGTTGGATTGTTCTTTCATTCCTTTAGCCCTCAGTTACCATGGTGCTCTCGCAGGATAGCGTAGCTGCAAGGGAAGCAGCGCTGGTGGTGCGGTGCCATTGTTAAGGTTTTTCATGAGTTTCCAATGCAAGCAGTTTACATTCCCTTTTGTGATGGCTCTCTGGGATTGTCTTTAAATACCTAGGAGAGATGCATCCCTTTGAGAAGGTGAGAAATATTTAAGGCTTTATAGGCTCTTGTGCTTGGTCCATAGCTGTTGCAGGAACTATAGAGCTTGCTTTCAAGGCCAGCACTCCGCTAAGATACCAGACTGGCAGCTTGTCAGCTCAAGCCAGTAATTTAAATCTTTGGTGCTAGTCAAAGCTGTCAACTTAATAACAGCTTACTGCATAAACAAGCTTGGGGGACTTATTCTGGGTCATTAGTATGGGAAGTTTCACATACTGAATTTATGTTTATCACTGCAGATTATTTGAAAAACTAGTCTTGTTTGAAGGAAAAGTAATAGTTTGCTTAAAGAACCCTGCTTTATGCACACAGTCTTGATCACTGAAGTAGGTGGTAGTAGTCACTTCAGAAATGAAGAGCAATATTAAACAGATAAGTTTTGTGGTGTTTTTTCTTTAGGAAGTAGAGGGTCATCTGGTTTCTGGGGTTTTCTTTAGTGTCAAAGAGGGCAGAGGAAGCAGACTGTTGTGGTGGCCCTCTCGGCATGCCGTAGTGAGAAAAATCTGCTTTGCAATGCCTTCTGTTACCCCAGAGGTTGGTCAAGTAGCAGCCAAGGAGGTTGTACTAGTGAGTGAGGAATGTTCCAAGGACAGTGATTTGGCTAGTATGACCCAGTACACTGAGGACACACAGACATCTAAGTGCCTACTAATACCACATAGAAAATACTCAATAGTTCATATTTTTGTGCCACATTTTCCCCACAGCCACCGAAGTGGTTCATCACCAGTAGTGCAAAAGCTTCTCACTCACTGGTGTGAGTAATGTGTAGGTGGGAATTATTTCCTTGACCTCAAAGCAGTGTTGTCCTTAGGGTGATGAGTAAGGTATGCTCCAACTTGTTTGAAGCAAAAATTGAAGAAGCAAGTGGTCAGAGGCAGTATCTGTGTGTAATCGTTAGCAATTTGACTAGCACTGTTAGGAGGTTCCTTAAACAGCGGGAGGAAAAAAAAAGTAGCTGTACTGTCTGGGAGCATTTAATTGTTGAAAACAGGAGCATCTGCTATATAATGAACTGCAGCTATCATGAAAATTAATATTTCGTAGTTACCGATTTTACTTTAGATTACAGTCAGGACTAATTGTGTTCTTGCTGCATATCAGTATTTCAAAGGGGAATTGTTCTTCTTTTTTTCTTGTTTAAAATTTGCTTTATGTATGTTTTAAATTTTTTAATAAATAAAATATGCCTGAACAGATGATGTGTTCTAGTTAGCCATATATAGCTACACTAAAGATCTGAAAGTTCCCACGTTAAATGTCTTAAATATTTAATTTCTTGTCAGTATAAGCAATTTTTAAATTTCTGTTACATGAAGAGTTTCTTACATTTTCTCTTATTATTTTAATTTTTGAAATATTAGACTAATAAAACAACGAGATTCCTTTTCCAGCTGAAGACATGGAATGATGGGAAATTTACAGCTGCTTAATCTGTTTTCAGAAATCAGACTAGCGAATATAAAAAGTAAATACTGTCAGAAACATTGAAGAAAGCATTATTTAAGCCTTTTATGTTCTGGTCAATGCAGATGAAGTCATGTAGATTCTTTTACATAATGTGCCCCTTTAATGGTCCTGCTGGAAATTGACTTCTTGGCAGCTGTACAGTTCAGAATAAGATGGATAAAGTTTTGTTCCTATTTCAAAATGTTTTAAGCGTGAGCATGTCAGAGTTGTAGTGAGATAAATTCAGTCTTTTATTTTTTTTTTTTAGTTTAATCCATTTGATGTTAGTTAAATCAACTGTTGAATTAATGAGAATGTATTTGAAAGAAACATAACTTTGAAATGCTGCTTTGTTAGTACTTGTTGGAATGGAATTTTCTTTCTCCTCTGGATCCTGACCCTGCTGAGGAGATAGAAGGGTCCACGGTGAGAAACTGCATGTAACTTCTTTATTGCTTCCTGAAGGTGTTTCTGGGTCTCCAGATCACGTGGCATTCTGCAAGAACCTTAGTCCCGTGGGTTACCTGGGTACTGGAAATGCATGTGTACTTGTAGCCGTGGGATCAGCTGATGTCTCTTTGGTTCCGTTTTAGCAAAGCGTGCAAGTGTGCTTCAGTTAATCCTGGTTAAGCAAAGCATTGAAATCGAGCTGCAGCTACTCATGAATTCACTGTGGTTCCGTGGCTGCAGATGTTCTGGATGTTTTACTGAAATGGCACTGCAGTCCCTAAGGCAAATCCCCTGCGCTTCCCGTTCCCTGTATGAGTTGACAGCTGGTTACAAGTCAATTATCATTTGCTATGATTTGTCTCTTGCACCCTCAAAGATTCAAAAGTACTGGAATGTTTGCAAAAGTATCAAGCCAGAACAGCGCACACCTCAGTATGTGATGTGACAAAATGACTGAACAGCTTGGGTTTTTTCATCCTGAAGCTTTGCAGATTTGTGGCTACCACGGCTTTAATGATGAGTAAGAACTACCCACACAAGGACAGAGATCTAATGGTGGCTGAAGGCAAGCAAAATCATGTGCTCCATATAAGGCAATGTGTGGGAGACACATTTGTTACATACTGAGTATCTGAGCAAAACCATGTGTCATGTTTCCTTAGGTTCTCAACAGGAGATGTGTAGAAGCAGCAGTGATGACAGGCCTGGCGCTCAACTGCAGCATAAACAAGAAGTCCTTGTTTGACAGAAAACACTATTTCTATGCAGATCTGCCTGTAAGTATGCAGCAGAGCTGGTCCCTTTACGGTGGTGGGAAAGGACAAGTCTGGAGCACAACAGAGGATGATGATTTTTCTGTTCCCAGTCAGTGTTCTGCTCGCCCCAACAGGATGCTGCGCTCCGCCCTGATGGAGAGGCGGCTGTACCCTGGCGCTCGCTGATTGAATATGATTGCTCTGATTGCTGACTCCTTGCTCAGCTGCACAATTCCAGTAGCTTAATGTAATTGAATTGGGAGCTGGACCTGCTTTGCCCCCTTAAGTTCTGCATTCCTGGTGTTTAGTACTAATTATCTGGTATGGTAAAAGCAGTCTGATAATAGTCCTTCATCTAAAGTGAATGTATAACAAACACAGGTTCCAGTGGTATGAACATAATAGTGTATTTTTATGTGTGCTTAGGGACCTAAAAATATTTAATTTCCCTTTAAAACTTTCTCAGTCAGTAGTCCCAATTAATTAAAAAACAAACAGCAGCCAAAAAACCCTCACAAAAACAGCTAAATCTTTGCAGTTGCAGTATGGTTTGTTGGTAGCTTTTGTGTTTGGTAGAAGGTGTCATTGTTCAGTAGAAGGTGGAAGTCCAGTGCGTTTCGCTGCACTTGATATGGGTGTAGAAATATTGAAGTCATTGAAGAACCTGACTTCTGTCATTGCAACAGAATGCAGCACTGTTTGAGCCTTTTTTTCTATTTTAATGAAATTAAACCTTTCGAAGTTTAAACATTTTTTTTCCTGTCAGCTCACTTGTACCAAATGTTCAGTTTAACACTAACCTATGAAAGGGAGATCACTGGTTCTGCTTTCTCTGATTTTGGGGTGAAGATCTGATGACTGCATTAAAGGAAAAAAAATTCTACTTTATCTAAGAACGATCAGGCATGTTAGCTTGTCCTCTCTTTAGGTGATGTGTCTGAGGCATCCAGTGAGCAGAGTGGGAGATTTCTCAGGTCCCAAATCATTGTATAGAGCTGCTGTATTATCGACGAAACTACTTTCTCGCCATCTTTTGGGGTCATTGGAAATATTTTGAAGTTACACAAAACCTTCAAATACAGTTGTTTCCCACCTGAGAAAGAGAATTATTTTCCAGTTGTCTGCTGGAGACCTGGGTCGCTTCTGTTCTGCTTTCTAGATGAGGACTTCTGGCCCTTCTGTGAGATTGATGTAATTACTGACTTGGTTGTTGGTGATAACTTTGCTGGTATTTGTGTGCCCTTAAGAGGCCCTTTTCTTGGAGGCTCTGTAGTGAACTAGAGCAGTAATAACTGGAAGAAGGTGTGTACAGCACCAGGTAGGGCTGCCGTACTCTACAGACATGAGTTAAAGGATCCTCTGGTCAGATGAGCGTGGAAGTTTGGTCAAGGAAATGCTGACACATTTTATTAACTTGAAACATGTAATACTGGCTTTCTAGTGGCTGATTTTGGCAGTTTAAGCACTGACAATAAAGTGCCTGACCTGCATTTCGTAGTGAAACAGTCTAGTCGGGAACCCTGTAATAAGATGCCGAGTTTAGGCTAATGAGCTGTATAGAACAGATAAAATAAATCCAGCTCTTAGGGTCATTTGACAATGGGATTATTGTTACTCCTGAAAATGGGGCTTTGGATGGGAAATGGGATTCCTGTTATTTATTGTCACTCACTATTTCAGGCTTTAAAAAAATCATTTTAATGAAAAGTTTTAGGAGATGGGAAGAGCTATGTGATTAGCATAGGCTAATAGAGTCAGTTATTTTATTTTTCTTACAGTGATTATGGCTAGAAGGTCATGCACTTTATTGCATATGTAAATTGAGCTGTTCACAGGGCCAGACTGTTGTTCTCCGTTCCAATGCGCTGTCAAAATCTCTGCGTTTTAGAGTAAGCTCATCCTCCCTGCAAAATACCCGAATGTTCCTCCCAAATCATCAAGGAGGAATGGATCGAACCCTACCTCAACAGAGTAATTGATTAATTTCTGTGTTTTTACATCGTTGCAGTTATTCCAATGGCAGCCCCTTTTCTGTCTGGCAGTTTTCCCTTTGAGTGGAGTCCCCGGCACGGGGTGGCATTTAGCAGCCGTGTGCCTTACCTGGGGCTGCAGTGCCTTATCTTCTAAATGGCTACATTAATGAAATGGAGCCTTCTCGTTTTCTTGATTCCCGCATACCCTCACACCCCCACTTCCCTCTCCCTCTCCTCCTCTCTAATGAGGAGAGCTCTGAACAGGCGGAGGGGGATTTTCAGCCCAATAGGAGGATCAGTGATAGTCCCAGCTTGGAAGTGGAGGTACAGTTACTAGCTTCGGACAAGATTTGACAGGATCATGGAACCACAGGCATGGAAGAACCTCTTCTAGGGCATTTCCTGCCCCAAGGCACACTATCAGTTGAATTGGCAAGTGGTTGTGCAGTCAGTTGTTGATTATTTCTATATTTAGTATAGTATCTTAATCTTGCTATGTTGAGGAGTGCTCTTATTTTTTTCCAGACCTCCAGCTTCTCACACTTAGTTCAAATTCTAGACCCATCTTCTAGCTTGCTTCCTTTCCAACTAAGGAAAATAACTTCTGAATTTACATGTACGCGTGTTCTGTCCTCTTATGTAGGTCACTGTGGAAGACGTTGCATTTTCAGTTTTGTTCTTGCACTTGGCCATGCAGCTGCTTTTTGAAAATGAATGTTTTATTTGAGGATAAAGCTAATTTTGTTGACAGGCTGGCTATCAGATCACTCAGCAAAGAGTTCCTATTGCGGTGAACGGAAGTCTTTCATACAGTCTCTGCATAGACAACAAAATGAGCCACATGGTGACCAAAACTGTGAGGATTAAACAAATTCAGTTGGAGCAAGACAGTGGAAAGAGTCTTCATGATGACACAAGGAGCCAGACTCTTGTTGACTTGAACAGGGCTGGTAGGCTTCGATTGTTTTCCTATTTTGCTCCTCCTTTCTGTTTAAGATGAGTCTTTAAAGATAGATGGGTTACAGGGAACAGGTGAAAAATAAAACCAGCCACATGTGTCTCTCCTCGAAAATAAAAATTCATTAAAATGACCTCTGCGCTTGAATCCGGGTAATACTTGAATTTTTTAATGGCCAGTGGACCTTTCCCATTGCTGTTAGTCAATGACCATTGGCAAGTTAGAGATCAGTTGGCTTTAGTTGGCTCAAAAATGTATGTGTCAGTCACGTACAGCCACTTGGCTATTTAAGCTCTCACCACTGTATGCGTTGCTGTTAAAGAAAAAAAAAATCACAGATCTAGTGAATCAAGTTTGTGTGTAGAAGGAGCAGCTGTTGGAATTTGTCAATGCATGAGTCAGACATTTCTTTTAATTATTAGCTTTGAAAAAATGCAAATTTTTCTCTTTTAAACTTTGAAATCCTAAATAGAATGAACCCGATTAACACACAAAATGGGCAGCAACCTGGGTGGCCTGGCCTAACAGAGACATGGTGCTCTGGTGTCCATTGAAGTCAAGGGCTGTGGCTGCTCATACTTTTGGAAAACTGGCTCCTGAAGCCAAAAACCAGACTATGTCTGTTTACAGTTCTGTCTGTTCCAAGATTAAGATAAAGAAATGTGAATCTGGAATCATAGAATCATAGAATGGCCTAAGCTGGAAGGGACACCGAGATCGTGGGTTCGATTCCCGCTCGGTCCCCATGTGTTGCCTGGTCTAGTCGAGAGGTGGCATCCCTGCCCATGACAGGGAGGTTGGACTAGGTGATCTCTAAGGTCCCTTCCAGCCTAGGCCAGTCTATGATTTCTATGATTTCTATGACCTTAGAGATCATTTTAATCCAGCCTCCCTGCCACCAGGGATGCCACCTCTCGACTAGATCAGGCAACACGTGGGGACCGAACGGGAATCAGACTGGTTTTAAGGGAGGAGTCTACTAGAGAAAGGCAGAAGAGGAATGTGTCCTGATTGTGTGTCATCAGAAGGTGGGGGATTGCCTGTGGTTTGTCTGTTCCTTTAAAAAATAGGAGGAAGTTTTTAGAGCAATCTGCAGCTAGGCCCATAGTGACAGTTACTAAATTATACATGGGGGGTTATTTATTTATTTTTTTTCCCTGAAACCAGCCCAAGTGCTTTCATGTATTTAGCCAGTTGCACTCTAATATACCAAGATCAAAAGCTGTTGCTGAAAATCTCCTGTCTATTTCCCTGATAGGAGTCGGCCTCATGGAGGTTGTCATGGAGCCTGATATGTGCTGTGGGGAAGAAGCAGCTGCAGCAGTCAAAGAGCTTCAGCTCATCCTTCAAACCCTTGGGAGCAGCCAGGCAGTCATGGCAGGTACAGAAGGGGGAAGGGCACATTGTCACCAATAGTTCTCTGCGTTTGCAGCTTCTGGTTATTTTGCTCTGTGGCTGCTTATAACGCGTTGCCTTTTCTAGCTGTTTTTTTTACAATCCTCAGAGCCTGTCCTCACATTTGCTGTGCTTTGGGTGTCCTCACGGGCCTGCCCTCTGAGCTTTGCAGTGCTAGATTTTATATGGCCTCGCACAATAATTTTCTGGGATAAACCTGAACAGGAAGGAATGTCCTCAGGGTTCTTGTGGTGTTTCTCACTGTCTGTCCTCATCTTGCTTGCCACAGCGCTGCAACATGGAAGATCTGTGAGGATTAGTTGCAGAGTACAGATCGCTCCAGCACCTCGATATCTCTCTTACACTGAGGTGCCCAAAACTGAACACAGTACTCAAGGTGCGGCCTCACCAGTGCTGAGTACAGAGGGACAATCACCTCCCTTCTTCTGCTGGTCACAAAATTTCTAATACAAGCCAGGATGCCATTGGCCTTGTTGGCCACCTGGGCACACTGCTGGCTCCTATTCAGTCGACTGTCAATTAGAACACGCAGGTCCTTTTTCGGCCAGACAGCCTTCCAGCCACCCTTCCCCAAGCCTGTAGCGTTGCACGGGATTGCCATGACCAAAATGCAGGACCCTACACTTGGCTAAGTGTTGACTAAGTTGTGCCAGGGAAGGTTCAGGTAGGATGTTAGGAAGAATTTCTTTGCTGAGAGGGTTGTCAGACACTGGAACAAGTTCCCCAGGGACGTGGTTGGGTTGCCATCCCTGGAGGTGTTTAAGGGATGGGTGGACGTTGTGCTGAGGGTCGTGATCTAGGGGTGTTGATAGGGCTGGGACAAAGGTTGGACTCCAGGATCTTGAAGGTCTCTTACAACCAAAGACTCTTCTATGATTCTGTGATATAGAAGGTGTGTGACAAAAGTAGTGGGAGCATGGATCGTCACATGAGCTGTGTGTCAGTTCTCAGCTAATCAGAAAATGAGCATAGGCACTGAACTTATGCTGGTGTCACAGGTGAGGTGGAGTAAATGACAGCATGCAGCAGACATGGGTGCTGGGATTAACTGAAGAACCAGTGAGAGTGCAATTTTTACCTTGCTTCATCAATTCACACACACACTGGGTGTTCCTCTTCAGCAGTATGTTCACTAGGTCTCAATTTCCCTTCTCACTAGGGAGATCACTGCTGGTTTGGGAATGTGGGCCACAAAATTGTGTTGGTTCATGTTGTGCAGCAGGCTTGCAGATACCGATCCTGATCAGGTGTTAGAGGCCAAGGCCCCTAGGCCCATCTTTCTGAATTTTGGGATCTTCCTCCATCTCCAGGATCTCTCTAGCTGAGATCACCACTATCTTTCTGAGGCCTCTTCCTCTTGGGAAGCCTTGCTTTTGGTACTGCCTCTTCTGTCTGGAACCCTTCCAGGATCTCTCTAGCTGAGATCACCACTATTTCTGAGGCCTCTTCCTCTTTTGGGAACCCTTGCATTTGGTACTGCCTCTTCTGCCTGGAACCCCGAGGCCCCAATTTTCATAATAGGCGATGTGCAGAGGCACAGTGTGTGATCAGCCTCTTAACTGGTGATTCTGTCTCCTGCCTCTATGAACTGGAGGGTTCAAGTCACGCCATTTTTCTCAGTACTAATGTTGAGAAAATTTACAACCAGCCCATAGTTACAGCTAGCAAATAGACTTCTGCTTGGGAGTTTAAAAGTATGGTTTTGGGCATTCATCCCCTCCACACATAGACCCATTTATCAGCTTCCTATTAGTGCTCACAATGTCAGCTGTATTTTTGCCTGTGACAGTTGGCCTCACTGTTCTGGCAAGAAATTCAGTCCACAGTGTAAGTGGATGCATCTCCTGGAGAACTGAGCCAGACTGGTTCATGCATCACCCAATAAATGGGATCTGATAAACGTTGGCCAGCGATGCAAATCTGATTTAATACTGGTTCATGCATCACCCAATAAATGGGATCCGATAAACGTTGGCCAGTGATACGAATCTGATTTAACGTAGGAGAAAATAATAATCGCTAGACATTATATATGTCTCAGAGTCTTTTGTCACGCTGGTGTTACACGTGCCAGGTGAGGCACAGTTGTTAATATTAAGCAGCTGGTTTTGCGTGCTTCTCCAAAGGCCTTTGTGGATGTACATATATTCAGTTATTTATCGCTACTGAATTTGGCCCTAAGATTGCCATTGAAATTGCATTATTTTAGCATAGAGATCTCTGATGTTAGAGGAGAATTCCAGTGTTGAGGATATTTTTCCTTCAGTATAGTTGGCTTTAAAAGTATTGGGATTTGTTTTTATTTTATTTCCTTTTCAAGGTGGTGATTTTGGGGGCTTTCTGCTGTGGTTTTCCCTCATGATAATTACTTTCTTTCATATAAGGGCTTTACCCTCTCACATTTTACCTTCAATCTACTTGTGTATTCAGTGAAGACAAATGGCCAGTTTTATGAGGTGTCACTTCTTTAAAAGCAAACAGCAGGAAAGATGATTTCATTACAAAGTGAAAGGAAAAGAAGCTGGGCTTAAAGGAAAAAAGTTTTTTTTTTTAGAAGCATTGGCCCTGCCTCTCCTTTCACTCATGCCTGATTAACTTCATTGTCTTATCACATTGACACCTACATCCAAGCAGAAGAAGCTGGTCATGTCTCAAAATGAAGCAAGGGCAGGACAAGGCTATTCCTCTTTTGGAACAAGTTCTCATTTCACCCCAGAGAGAGAGCGCATGCAGAACACTTCTCCTGAAAGAGATCCTGGGTCATTCCAGCACTTTTTCCTTCATTTGCATGTCTGGCAGGACTCTGTGAACACAGAGGAAATTAGTGTGCTATCATCCAGTCTACTTTACAAAGTGGACCACGGCCTCTCCAGTCAATTTACATCTATTCACCAGAATGGGTTCGGGAGCTGTAGGCAGGTTTAACCCTGAGTTATTTTGTGCTCCCTTTAATAATGCTACTGTATCTAAACTGGGTGTGGGGTTTTTTATCTGTATTCAAAATTAAAACCCTCAAAAAGCACAAAAAAGCAAAGAGGGAGGCTACAGATGTTCCCTGTGCAATGTGGGGAAAACTACATTTCTTTTTAGTACAGCCTCTCCTGTTTGTTTATTCCCACCAGCTGAATAACTGTGGCAAGAGTTTTTGTCTCAGAAGGAATGTCTTTAGAGGGACAAAACTGAGGAAGATACAATTACGAGCTACTTGTGGTTGAATCTTTAGAGATATTTAAGGACATTCTACCATTTTGGACTAAAAGTGCAGGATGCTTTTATATGTAACTTTGCATTCAGTTTCAGTTTTTGGCAGACGGGGAAATTTGGGACACGGGAGGGATAGCAGTTTCTTGAAGGACAGGAAGAAAATTACAAAAAAATCCACTACTTCTCACATTTTGTCCTCGAGCTGTAAATTTCCAAGAACACCTTAGTAAATCTGTTCAACATATCTGTAAGTTCTTGTGTTCTGTGCTAGGGTAGTATATATCCATCAAATTGTAATTCCAAAAAGGTATTTTTATGCAGGTTTTGGAGGAATGGAAGCTTACAATCCACCACTTCAAATTGCTTGTCTAATTCTGCCCTTCATTTAGGAGCTGTGAATCAGAAGCTTTTTTCACTCTATGGCTTAGAGGCTCTATGCTGCATTGCACCATGCAGTTTGCTCTGAGAGGAATTACGAGGAGTAATTTTTTTTTTTTTTAAAGTAGTGTTCGCAGGAAATTTTGAATGATTGGAGGCAGAGTCTTGAGATGGAATCTCAAGAACAGTAAACAGAATGCTGTGATGAGGTGGTTGTTCCTCCTTTCTGAACATACGGAAGTCTGCTGTTCATGCTTTGCACGTAACACGCGGTTTATTAATGCGTGGCAAGGTTTTTACTCTAGTATACAGGGCAGGCTATTCTGTTGATGAAATTTCCTTTTACAGAGGGTCAGCTGAGAGTGGATGCCAATGTTTCTGTGCATCACCCTGGAGAGCCTTATGGAGTGAGGACTGAAGTGAAGAATATCAATAGCATGCGATTCCTGGTGAAAGCAGTAGGTAAATGATGGGTGCTTCATTACAGGAGCGTTGTAGGTATTTTGGGTGGTCTGATATGAAATGCATCAGGCTGCCAAGTGCAGTAATTGGCCTTCTGTGCCTGACTAGCTTCATCTGGATGTCCCACCTGCGCAGTTCAGACCAGCAGTGGGACTGCCTGGGGTGGCGAGGGCCCTGCTTGTGCCGTTGTCACTCTCGGCTTGTCCTCTGCTGTGGACTGGCCCCGCTTTTGCTGCTCCCTGGAAAAATAAATCTTCGTATGGGATGCCGTCAGTGTACTGGCTGTGTTAGCCTGCAGTTTTTCTTGCAGAGTTAACCCTCTGCCTGCAGGAAGAATAAAGCAGATGATTCAATGGCTAACACGTTTAGTACTGAAATGTGTTAGCAGTAGCTGTGTCCTCCAGTGTAGGTAATTGCTTTCCACCGAGTGCTGTAGGTGGTGGCGCATGAAGTTCAGATGCAGCTTGGATATGAAAAAAAAGGATGATTATTATGTCTCTGAAAGAAAGCTGAAGTGGGTGATAGGAAGGTCGCTAGAAATGTATGGCTTGGCTGCAGCGCCTGGGAGCAAATGTTTTCTGTTTAAAAGGAATGAAAGAAGGTGAAGAAAGCACGCAAAGAAAGAAACAGTGCTGGAGGGAGAGACAGTGACTGATAATTCTGCCAGTAACTACTGCTGTTTATTTCATTAAGGTTAAAACAACAAACTATTCCATTATTGCATAGCAGTGAAAAATGGAATAGTGGAGCGTACTAAACCTTACAGTGCAGTATAAAAAGCTTACTCTTTTTTCTTTTGTTTCTGTCAGACTATGAAATACAGAGGCAAATTGAAGAACTTGAAAATGGAGGAACAATTCTGAATGAAACACGAGCCTTTGATTCCAAGCTTGGGTGAGTTTTTATTTTGGAGGAACATCAGGAATGGCAGCTTTAGAGTGCCAGGGATACCTAGTAACATGATCAGGAGAGGTGATGTAGTATTGCTCAGCTTTTGTCTTCTAAAGCTAGTGTTCGCAACCATTACTCCTCGCAGGCGGTAATTCATTCTTAAAGTCGAGGCTTTTTCACAACGGGTTGGGTGCTACATAAAGCAGTGTCTGTGTGAAAATGACTGCCCTCTTCCAGACACGCTTTCTTTGAAGCAGCCTTAACAAGTTCTCTTGATCTTATGAGGCAAAGTTTTTTGGTTTGTGCTTTTTCCGTAAAACTGATTCTGTGGTGTACCACTTACCACATCTTAATTGTTTTGTGTTTATTTTAGGTGCACTGTACCAATGAGAGACAAAGAAGGAAAACAGGATTATCGGTATTTTTTTTTTAAATTAACACTTGAAGAACTGAGAATTTACTTAATTTCTTAAGAGTAGTTGGTGTAATGAGCATATAAATTTAGTCAGCATAGTAAACATGTATTGGCAGTTTGCCTTCCACTGGAAGGGGAAGAGACCTATCAAAATCAGTGCTAGTCTGAGCAGTTCAGATCTAGAACTGTGTCTCATCTCTGCTAAAACCTGCAGACCTTTCCCAAAAAACTACGCTGGAGTGCCTTAGCTCAAAGTGGGTAAGTTGAAGGTAAACTTTGTGACCAGTATATGCATATCCTTGAGAATGCCAGACATAAAACATGAGAATATTTGTTCCTGCTTTAAGAAAATCCTGAGGGAGATGATTTTCAGATCCCAGCCTCTGCCTCTTCATTGTTTGTAGAAATGCAGCAGATCATTTTGTGAATTATAATGTTAGGGATTGGCATGAGGCTTCTTTAACAAGACTAATTCAGACAGTAAAGACCAGAAATATTATTACTGAGATTATGATCAGTATTAAACTGTTTTTCAGACTTTTGTAACCTACTGCTGCACATTATACATGAAACTTAAAATATCTATCTTTAGGCAGATTTGAAATAGAAATTATTATAGTAAATGTAGAGAGTGCCCAATGTCCTTTATTCTGATATTTTTTGAACCCTTCATTTGATCATGTAAGAGTGAGGTTTCTGCTTCAATCATAGTTATTCGAGTGGTTCGAATTGGCCTTCTCTTTTAAGGGAGCCTTTTGTTCTGTGATGGCACCCTGCTGAGCGCAGTAACTTTGCTTTTAGCGCAGCATGAGTTTTTATCGAGATTTTCTGAAGTTACTCTGGAAAAGGTTACAGCCTGCCCAGATCACTCCTAGCAGTTGGCTATCAGTCTGGGTTTTTCCCTCCCAGTCCACTCCAGTTTTTGTCCAGATCCACAATTCAGGCTTGACACCAAAAGGAGTGGGGGTTGTTTCCATATGCATTCTTACTGGGTTTATTCGGGTTGGGGTTTTTTCTTCATTTTTACTAGGTTTATGCCAGAACCAAACCTTCCTCCATTGATTCTGTACGATGCAAAATCTTTGCCAGCTAATATGAACCATCAGCAAGTGGTAAATATTGACTGGATTCATGAGAGGCTTCCCGACCTCCCCAGTGTGAAGAGAGCAAAGCTCGTTGAACAGTATGGGATTCTTCCTGAACACAGCTTCACCTTATTGGTAGGTCTATTGATCCAAGTGCTAAAATAAGCCTGGAAACTTCAAAGCTGCACAGTTTTGGAAAAGATTTACAAATGTCGTATTAACCAGCTGTCAGTTTTCATGGAGGTTATTTAGTTGTAATTATGTCCAATGCATGCTTGGTACCTTGGAGGCCTATATCTAGAGTGCTGGGGAAAAGAAACCACACGCACTGCACCTAGAAGTGGAGTTTATCGTGCAATGTGCAGTTAAATAACTATTTTTCAATATTGATCTTGTCTGCCTGTACACGGATATGGACCCGTGACTGACTGCAACAAGTGTACAACTTTCTGCTGACAGTCCCTTGTGTGCAAGTGCCTGCTCTTCTTGTATTTGGGCCTGGTACGAGGCTGGTCACATTGTCACTATTTAACAAATCAACAGGCACGTTTTTGTGACTGCAGAAACAAAACCCACAGTTTAAATCTTTCAGCTTCACAGCCCTGCTGATCTGTCTTTCATGTTATTTAAAAACAAAAAACAAACCAACAGACTTATTCTCAGGTAAATACGTGAAACAGCAGTACAGTATCAACTTTGACCTCACTATGCAATATACACGGGATAGGTTCAGAAGAAGGAGTGAGAAAGAAAAGAGCGTGTCAAATATGGATATAAATAAGGAAATGACAGAAAAAAATCACTTCCAAAATTATTCTAGACGACTTAGAGCCATCTTCTCTGGAGGGGTTGTCTTGTAAGCTACATTAGGTGACACTGCTCTGACAGGGTTTTTGGACTATAGATGATTTTCAGAGGTCCCTTCCAACCCCTACTGTTCTGTGATTCTTCAATGCAGACTGTGTCGTCTCCGTTTGCCAGTGCTAACTCTGGGTGTTAGTATACACGTGCAAGATTAGACATTTCACATAGCCAGGTAAGCTAGGACAGCGTCCTGCCCTGGTTACCTCTGTGATTAGTGGAAAAAGAAGGACTTCTTTAGAGTAAGAATCAGAGCGGAACCATAAGTACTTTAAATTGTTCTCTGGAGGACAATTCCTTTCCTTTGACTATAAATGGAGGGAGAGCAGCACACTTAACTTAGCTACCTAATATCCCTCCTTTGTGTGGCTTTAATTTAATATGCTTGTACAGAAGCTGATTCTACAGAGAAAAAAAAATTCTTCTGACAGAGGCTAATAGGAAACTGCTTTTGTGGTGGTGTGCCATTTTAGTGAGCTGCAGATCTACTGTTTGGTGGGCAGGTGAGTCATAAGTCTCATCAAAATCATGAAGCTGCAGTGGTAGATAGTATCGAGAGGTTTCGGTCATTGTTACCTTTCTATTTTATTGTATAAGCAGCAAAATGGGATTTTGCAGCCAGTATTCCTGTCTGTGCATGCATTTTTTTACATTGACATACTTCTCACGTATTAAAATAAACAGGGCTCAGTAAGGTAGATAGGTCCTGAACCGTTTTATCTGTTGTTCTTCTCCCACGCTGTGGTGGGTTGACCCTGGCCAGCTGCTGAGCACCACAGCTATTTGCTCATTTCTCCTGACAGTGGGACAGGGAAGAGAATAGGAAAAGCAAAACCAGGAAGACTCATGATGTCAGATAAAGATACGTAAATAAGTGAAGGAAAAAGGAAGGGAAAACCCCCAAAGTGATACAGATCACTCGCTGCCTCCCCCAAGTTGATGCACAAGTAGTCCCCGACCAATGGCCATGACTGACCCCCCCAAAATCCCTTCCCTCAGTTTTCGTTGTTGAGCGGGGCGTTATATGGCATCGAGTGTCCCCTTGGTCGGTTGGGGTTAGCTCTCCAGGTCGTGTCCCTGCCCAGCTTCATGCCCCTCCTCAGCCTACTCACTGCAGGGGACAGAGTGGGGAAGAAGCGAAGGCACAGCAGCAGCCAGAACACGGGTGTGTTGGCAGGGCTGCTTCAGTCACAAGTCCAAAACACAGCACCCTCTTGAGAAAATAAACTCCATCCCAGCCAGACCCAGCACACCCAGTCTTTCCACTTGGCATAAACCCACTTCTTGCACGTTTTGATTTCTCCCTGCTCTGTGAAATCTACTATTGCCTTTGCATTTTCCGTTTTAACTTTTTTCCCCTACGACGTCTAAGGCGATTAATGTGCTCGAAGCTGAAATCCAAGATTCGGCTTGTAATAAGATAATGCGTCCATTTGAATGCATGAAGCGAGCGTGTTCCTCATTGCCAGCCTGCTTTTATTGTGCATTAGAATGTCAGCATGTGTACTCTCCTTAAAAGTTGCTTGCTTGTTCACTGAGAGACTAGTTAACCTTAATTCATCTGAAAACGGTGTGTCCGTTGCCGTGTTAAGCTCACATCAGAAGTTGCAGAAGATTGCTGATAGGACCAGATGCACAAATCTAATGAGCATTCTTTCAAGTTAGAGCACCCAGGAGTGCTCATTAAATTAATGGCAGTGGTAGAGGGATGGCTCTAAAATGCAGAATCTCCATTCTGCGCCAACTTGTTAGAGAAAACATTATGCGCCAAAGTTAAAATAAAACAGTACTGTACTTGAGCATGCGGGTTAGTTTCTGAGCTTGCTTCATGAGCTTTATTCTCCGGTATGATAGGTGCCTGTATGTGCTGCTGAACTGAGAATCTGAGACTCCTGCTTTTGCCTGATTGCAAGACGTACTGAAATGGAAGGAGATTGTTACCTATTAATATCTTTATATTTGAAATTTCTGAAGTGTAGACTGCTACATTTTTGACAGTTTTGTACCAATTGCAAGAATAAATGAAGTTTCTAAGTTTCTCCATGCAGAACCATTTTTATTGATAAAGATACAGTTCTTTGAGCCATGTAGACTTCATGGTATTTGGGTACTCAATTTCTGCATGCAGTTTCTGCTTCGCTGTGTGAACTGGTAAGCTGGCAAATATTTCAGTTGAGAAGTATCTCTGACAACTTTGCCAGTTACGATATTGCAATATTTTTTTGTCTTGCCTTCCTATTGAGTCAAAAAATAAGATGAATTGGTATGGGTGTTAATGTGACATTTTGTTTTCAAAAATCATGCTGAAGTCTGGAGAGGTCCGACCAAAAAGTAGATCAGTGGTCACAGTACACCATTAGAACACAAAGTCTGATCACTTCCTCATCTGAATTCCAAATCTTCCTGTGCATTTACCATTCCTCTCCTTAGATAAGAGTGGCCATACCACTTTGGCTTATTGCTTTGGTGGAATAATTACTTCGGTGAACCCTTCAAATGGTCAAAAGTGGGATGCTCTAGAAGTTGGTTTTGACCATTTTGTTCATGACATGCTGTCCTCATACACTTTGGTGTGTAGGTGAAATTACCAAAGAATCATAGGATGGTTTGAGTTGGAAGGAACCTCAAAGATCTTCTCATCCCAACCTCACCACCATGGGCAGGGACACCTCCCACTAGACCAGGTTGCTCAGAGCCCCATCCGGCCTGGCCTGGAACACTTCCAGGGATGGAGCATCCACAACTTCCCCGGGCAACATGTTCCAGTGTCTCACCACCCTCACAGTGAAGAATTTATTCCTAATGCCTAATCTAAATGTACCCTAGTTTAATACCATTGCCCCTTGTCCTGTCACTACACAGCCTTGTAAGCAGTCCCTCCTCGGCTTTCCTGTAGCCCCCTTCAGATACTGGAAGACCTTACGGTCTCCCCGGAGCCCTCTCTTCTCCAGGCCGAACAGACCCAATTCTCTCAGCCTCTCCCCGTAGAAGAGGTGCTCCAGCCCTTTCATCACTTTGCAGCCCTCCTAAGGACCTGCTCCAGCAGGTCCACATCCTTCTTGTGTTGAGAGCTCCAGAGCTGGAGCTTATTTTCAGAACTTAAATCATTCTCTAAGAAGCTGTAGGAAGAAATTTGAACTTTGTTTGGCTGCTTCGCTTGTCTGTTTTAATAGGCTAGATTTTCTGTTTTTTTTTCTCCCCTGACAATCTTGCACATTTCTGCAGCAGTTGTTACCTCACAGTTGGTTATTGTGGGAACTGTGATGATGAAAATGGAAACAAGAAAGCAGAAAATTACTTTTTATCTGTGAACATTGATGTAGTTTTCTTCTTCAGTTCTTCAGGAAAAGTTACTGGTCTTTAAAAGCATAAGTTTGCATTACAAACCCAGTGTCCCTGCAGATTGGACCCATGGTGTTCTGTAAAACAATGTAGTGTTTTAAACTTGTTTAAAAAGCATCTGAAATCACTCCACTGCTAGTGGTGTTCTTCTGACATCTCAGTACCATTAAGTGATCATTTTAAACCATGTTTAAGGAAGACATTTGCAGCTGGTTGAAATACCGGTATGTCAGATTTCATGCCAGTGAGACTCTAATGAATAAGTTACAGCGTATTTGATGTGTAAATGGGAGCACCAAGTGGGCCTGGATCACAGAGACAGTGCTGCAATTTCAGATTTCTGATTTTCCTTCTAGGAAGGTTAAAATACGTTATTCAGAAGTAAGTGAGAAGAGTCAGCATTCCTGTAAACCAGTTCATTAGGGTGTGCAGTGGTTTCCAGCTCAGATCTGTTGCGATGGGGTTGGAGGTGTTGGTAGTTGGAGTGAATCTGGCATAAAGAAAGTTGACCAAAATGCAGAACAAATTGAAGTCAAGTTCAAGTAGTACAGTATCTAGAAACTGAAGCTAATCAAGTTGTGCCTGCATTTTTCTAATACGGCAAGAAAGTAAGGAAAACGTTTCATGTCTTGTCAGTCATTTTGATGTTTTGACATTCTGCCTCATTCATTTCAGTCTAGCATTGCTGGGTTTTCCTACTCTCTGGCTACAGAAAATGACAGTCACTTAAAATCAGCTAAAACGAAATGCAAAGGAGTTTTGGGGAGTAGGTCTATTTTTATGTGTAGAAGTAGTGAGTATGGGCTTCAGCACCTGGCAGCGTCGTCTGTCTGAGTGTTCCTGGGCTTTTCTGCTCTTGCTGCCTGGAAATCATCTGATTACTGTGCAAAGGCTGGGTGTGTTTGTCCTTGATTTATTTTTTTTCTCAAAGGTCTGGCGGCAGGGTCAGAGCTGTCGTTCCAGCCAGGCTGGTGGATCCAGAAATCTGAATACGCTCTCTGACACGAACGCAGTGAAGGTGTTGGACGTTCTGCGTCTGAGTTGCGTAGCCTGCCTTCACACCTGCGGCACCCACAGGCGGTGTGTGCTGTGTGCATCAAGTTGTAGCTACACCTGTTCTGCCTGGGGTCTTTGTAAAACCTTCTACGGTGTGCGTAAAGAAACCGGCATTTATCCACATTCGCTTTTTCCTACCTAAATGAGACGGGTTTAGTGAAAGGGAACCCGCTGTTTAAATAATCAGTGTTTGTTTGTGCTGATGAGTCCTGAGGTGAATTAGAAAGAGCACAGCGGTTAGTAATGCCTCATTTTTAGTAATTCCACTTAACACACACACACGCACAGTTACTGTACTTCGGTAATCATGTTGTCTCTTTACTGGTTTGTCCAAGCCAAATTTGCTCCTCTGGTTTATTTAGCCTTAGATTTTAAATAATTTGATTACAAAGTAACTGATAGTTAAATTTGTGGAAACGCTGGGAAAGAAGGGAGTTCTCTGTCTGTGTGTGTTAGATGGGTAACTAGGTGGAGTTCCAAGGTTTACCTTGGTTCTCAGAAGAGCTTGGTGGCTCTCCTAACTTGAGGACTCTGTTTCTTTGCTCACAGTCTCAAGGTAAGAGGGCTGGGTGTGGTTTTTGTCACACCAGTTTTACTGCAGATCAGCTATTAAATCCTAAGTATATTTTGTTCTGTTCCACAGAACAAGGAGCAGAAGCCTGCAGTCTTTCACAAACCCTACATCACTAGCAATGAAAAATGTGGTGTCTAGAGCTGCGGGGAAGTTGGTGTTGTGAAAGTTTTGAGGAGGAAAGTCTAAAATTCTCTATTGCTATGGTGATAAATTTGCCTTTTAAAACGAGGACGAGTGAGGCCATTTTGATGGGATATGTCTGAGTGGAAAAGTCAGGCTTCATTTTAGTGCGTACCTGCGCTCTTTTCGCTTGGAAGCATTCGGAGATCCGGCTGTGCTCAGTCTGTGCTTGGGAAATGTTTTTGCTGTGATGACAGTGCACTTAGAGTAGTTCCAGGGCCGTCTCTGAACTGTTGCCTCTCAACTTCTGAGAGCTGGCTTGTCCTCCTGTGCATTTATGCAGTGCACTGCAGAAAGTCCAGTGGCACACTGGATTTGGATTCCTCCTTGAAAGGGGTAGGAGCTGCCACTTGGTATCTCTTCAGCCTTCAGCAGACCTAATGAGTTGTGTGCTGCGGTTAAAGATCCATCAGTGCCTCCATGACCCACCGCATAGCATTCAGCAGACTGTGCAGTGTCTGTTCATCTATAAACAATCTCAGATTTCACTGAGGCCATAAATTGAATCCCCTGCTGTCATGTCTTCTGAGCATTTAGGGTGCTGTGGAAAAGCTTACTTAGCTTCTGTGGAAAAAGTGGAAAAACAAGCCCCTGCTTCTTACAGCATTACCTTTCCGTATCATCGAAGGGTGAATGCAAGCGAAACTCATCTTTCAGTCCAAAGTAAATAGAAGTGATTGCAAGATCAGGAGTGAAGTATCTCTAGACAGTTTCGGGAAAAATCTCTTCTTGGTAAAAGGTAGCGTCACAGCCTGTTAGGTGGCAGCATTATATTTTCTAACCTTATATGTACTTAAAACATGTGAGAAGGTGAAAAAGCTTCTCCTCAAATGCCGATTTTAGGAAAGAGTTAAGAGAAAAAAGATAGCTCCTTTATTGGAAGTTCCATTGAAACAGACAGGCTGGCACATAAGCTGTACATACTTCTTCTGTATTCTAGACATAACATTTTTTCGCTCTTATATTAATAAAATTACTTCAAAGTCATGTGGCTGCAGTGAATTCACAAAAGCAAGTTTATTTTTAGGATTAGTATTTATGCTCTGAGTGTAATTGTATAATTAATTGTGTTTGTACTCTGGAATCTTTGATGCATTTAACTTTTCTTAAACAGAATGAAGACGGATTAACAGAATTCTTTGAAAATGTGGTAAAGCAGACCCAAATGAAGCCAAAGAAAGTCATCGGCTGGATTCTGAAAGACCTGCTCAGTTATTTGAAACAACATTCCCTTACAGTAAAAGAAAGGTCAGGCTTCTTGATTACTCCCGTGGTGAAACAGAAGTGATCCTTTTCTCTTTTACCATGAATAGTATTGTGTCACTCTGTTGCTCGCCCCTGCTGTAGTTACTATCTGTGAAGTTTGTTGCACTGGGCAGTACTCCGTAGGTCCTGACGCTGTCATGCTGGATGCAGTTAATCAAACACTTCGCAGAGAAGAGGCCCATGTAGTTAAGAGTAGTAATCAGTCTTCCTTCTTTCAAACATGACAGTCAGGCTCTCAATACCAAAGTTGAATATAGCATATTGTGAGGAAAAATACCAGCTCGTCGTGCTAAACTACATAATCTGTAGGCAACCAAGAGTAGCCTAGGTATATTACTTCATCTTCTTCTCTGTGGTAAATTCTGCCCCCTTTTTCCCTAGCCCAGTCAGTCCTTTCCTCCTGGCTGACCTCCTGAACCTTCTAGAAAAAAAAGAGATTTCTTCTACAGCAGCAAAGCAGGTAAGTACCGCTTTGATTTTACTGCACTTTGATCCTGTGGCTGCTTACTCCATTCATGTAGCAATTTTATAATCAGTGTGTACCAGTACGTGGGTTGCTTTAAAAAAGAGAATTTAGAGTGTTGGTGAAAGATTAAATTTGTATCTATCCTATATACATATAATAGATGAAAATGCCTCCTGTGTACCTGATGTGACAGACGCATCTGCGTATTCAGCGTGAGAAGCGGGCACAAGCCAAGCAGTAGATTTAGGCACCATGAACTGAAGTCAGGTACATAAATCCTGCTGCTGAGCAGACTGGGCACTAGATATCAGTTTCACAACTCAAGTCAGACCCGAGTGAAAGGTCAGTGGGAGCTAATCCATGACTTGCAGTTCAGCTGAATTCTCCTCGGTCTTAAGGGAGAGTAGAGTCTTCGTTCCCAAGCATTAGCATGTGGAACAGGGTATTGCTCACCTGGGCGTAGTTACAAAAAGGGTTCTGCTTTGGTGCACCCCTGAATCAAAAGGGGGCAGGTCTGGCCTTTCTTTTGTCCTTCCTGGAGCAACTGCTATCATGGGCCTCTCAAGCAAGTAGTGATGGTAATGCTAGTTTCTCCCTTTAAAAATACCACCTTGCTTACAACAGTCTGAAAAATCAGCTCTTGGTGGTTTGTATCTAAAATTGTGAAACTGCTTATGATGGGTACGGTGACTGCTGTGTCCATAGACAAAATTTGGAGGCTTTCTGTGACAGGGAGTAATCAGTCATGCACCTTAAATTGTTGCTGGCTCATTTATGTGGAATGCATTGTCTTTTCAGATTTAGTATCATCCTCTAGATGAGTACATTAGATGGCTGCTGCTGCTCAGGTGTTCATCAGTGAAACTGTTAATAAATATATTTGACTTGCAATGAAGATATTTAACTTGCCTTGTCTGCTGCTTTCAGGCCTTTAACTGTCTAAGATACACAGAACGTATTTCCATCTTTCTAGCACGTATTGATTTAATCCAAGTACAAGGTTGGAGTAGCACTGAAGTCAATTCACTTCTAGTGTGTTTGTTTGTTTGTTTTTTTCCATGATTATAAACCAAGTGTAACTGTTGCAAATGTGGGTCTTTACCCTACTTGGAGACACTTGGAAGTTTCTTCCTGGTTTGTTGTTTTCTTGTTTGGAGATGCTTGTGATTCTTAATTAAGTTGGTCTTGTTGGCCAGCTGCTGTGAATAGCCAGCTGCGTATGACAGGCGTCGTAAATGAGGATTTAAGCGCCTGACTTCAGGCATGTGCTTATGGAAATTTCGGATTGGAAAAGTAAAAGCTTCAAAAAGGCGATAAAGTATTAATAGGAAAAGCATTGGAATGCAGAGCAGTGGTTCTGTGCCTGCGGGGCTATGGCACACCCATCCGTTTGGGGTGTGCATTTGAAAGGGGGGCCTTGGAACTCCGTTCCTAACTCTTGGCTTCCCTGTGGAGGTAGAGACAGCGTACTAATGCTCTTCTAGGGGAGTTTCTTGCCTTGTGATGTATTCGTGTGCCAGCACTTTCTGACAGATTATGAAATGCCAAGAATTTCAGAGATGCTTTTCTTGTTTAATTACCGACTCCTCGTAATGTGCATGTTGTCCTCGGCGTTCTGAAATTGGACACAGAGAAATAACAGTAACTGTTTGCCATCACTGAGCGATGCTATCAAACTGCAGAAACCTTGCCACATTTAGAAAAGTATTTTGGTTGCCTGGATGTCGGAAGAATAACAAATGTTTATAACAATTCTCAGCAGTAGACGGAGATACTGGATGGCCCGAGGGCAGAACAGGCTATATATACACAAGAGCGAGCAGTTGAATTGCAGCGCTTGGGGGAGGGCGGGGGGAGAGGGAGCTGCAGCGATAGAGACAGATCCAACGAGCAAGGATGGAAAGGTTCGATGGGGTGAGCGCGCAGACACGTGTACGTGCTCGCTGCGGGAAGCTGTTAGCAGTTTAAATTTTTTAAGAGGGCTTGTGTTTGGTCCCTGCTGTCTAAGGCACCGAAACATGGGCAGATAAAGAGCTGCGAGGGCTGGTTATGGACACGGAGCATTGTGTGGTAGCACGTGTGTGCCAAGGAGAAGGCATTGCCTGCTTACATAATTACCACTCTAGGTAATTAGAGAGCTCACGCCCAACTTGCCATCAAATGTAGCATCCTACTCCAGAGTTTTTTTTTCAGCCTGGCGTGCCCGTGCAGAGGGGAGCAGCGTCCAGCTCCACTGGTGTGCAGGGCCATGGGGTGAGGGTGTCCCCGGTCAGGGGCTGTGGCTCAGCCCAGAGGCACTGTTTTGAAGCCCGCGGTGGGACGTGCCAGTGCTGCTCACCCGAGGCAGAAAACCAGGCTGATGGGGGAGTGTGCCTGAGGTGGGCACTGAGACCTCCTGTGCAGGGCTAGCAGTGTCACCGGCATAAGGGGCCGGTAGGTAGTTAGGTAGGGCTTTGTGGGAGGAGACGGGCTCCTGGGTCAGGAAAGCAGAAATTTGGCCCTGCTGCCAAGAGCCACGTTGGAGCATCTCGCCGTGGACGCTCTTGTCACGTATCTGTCAGGGATCTGTGGCGGGGCGTGGAGCAGAACGTTAACCCAGGTCATCTTTGCTTCGGCAGTTGCCCAGGTCACCTGTGAAGGAGTAACTTCCAGCAGACCCGCCTGGCACCCTTACTTTAAAGTAGGTATCGGGGCAATGAGGACAGTACACAAACGTTGAACAGAACCTTCTGCTTTGACAATTATGGCCAGGCCATCTGGAGGACTGGACCCAGCCTACCCCTCACTTTTGTCAGAGGCTGAGGGACAACTGCCAGGCATCGAGGCTTCCATTACTGGAAAGGAGAGATGCCCAGAGGACTGAGGCGAGCGGCACCGCCTGCCGCTTCCTTCCCACCCTTGGCAGCAAATCACTGCAGAGAGGGTTTCCAGTTGGAGCGTTCTCAGGCGCAGCAGTCAGCTGGCACGTTCACCAGTTGCAAAATGTTTGAGATGATGCCCGTGGCAGGCAGACGTGTGAGTCCTGATTAATTCATCTTGACCAGTGGTTTAGCTGCTACGCCTGTGTTGGTAGAAGACCGAAGAACATCATTAAAATCTAATCACGCTTGGGCAAGAATCAATAGTAGAAACTACTGAGGTTTCAGGAATGGAAATGAGGCCTGAGATTCTCGTTTTGGCTCTGGAGACTTCATAATTTGATCCTTCTGTTCTGGTGCAGGCAGTTTGTGTAAATGAGTTGAAATCATTTTTTAAACTGCTTTCTTTAGATTCGTACTCCTTGCCAAGTGGAGAAACACGTTTTTAAAAGTGCATTTTTGACAGGTCTTGGCCACATCTCTTTCTGCTTTCCTACGTACCTGTAAACAAGCAAGGGCCTTGATAACACTGTTGCTCTACCAGCGAAGTGGAGATGCTCATTACCAAATTGAAAAGTACACATGATGCAGATGTCACAGGGAAAATCTGGTGCCTTCAGGGTTTCCAATGGGCAGCTTTTCTCAGTGCCAGGAGACATTTGGCATAGGAACAGCGGGGAATCCGAGCTGGATCTCTGACTGTCAAGCCACTCTGCCCCCGATCCAGTCCTAAAAATCACATCTGCCTTTTCCCAGGAGAGCAATGGGAGCTTATTCACTGCCTACCCTCCGATTTGTGCGGCATTTCAGGCTCTCTGGGGTGTTCTGCTGTGGGCTGTGCTGTGCAAAGAAGACAGGGCTCCTTCTGCAGGGTGATGTACCCACCTGGTGCCTCAGGAGGCCTTGAGGACAGAAAGCTTCCTGCCTGGTCCCTCAGGGAAGGTGTGGGAAGGGACTGCCCGGCGTAGCAACAACAAAAATAAAAACCTCAGAACAGGCAAGTGGCTGTAGACAGGTTCAATCTCTGTTGGATGTATTTCTTTCTAGGGGTGTTCCAGGTGGCACTGGCATGATGATTTTTTAAGTACTTGCACTGAAGGGAAGCTCTTGTAGAAGACATCATATGCTGCACTGATTTATTTAGATATAAACACCTGAAAGCTTTACTTACAGCGGTTGTCACTCTGGCTGCTTATCAGCAACTTTAATATCATGATCTGCCTTTAACTCTCTTACAAGGAGAAAAAACAAGATGTAGCTGCTACAATACAGCTGCGTGTCATTACCCTCTCTCAAGGTCTCCAGCAGAGCGATAAGATCCATAAAAAGCTTTGGGGTACTGCTGGCAAACAAATCTCCTCTTGCAGGAATCGTGTCCATGACTGATTCTTAAATACTTGTTGCGGCTACCAAATCATTTAACTGAAGGTCTTTTGTACCAGAAAATTCCTCATGCTGAAAAGAATTGCTCGAGTAGTTAAGATACCAGCCCACACACTTCATTTTTTCCTGAGTTGCCTTGCTGCCCTGCTTATTACTTAACATGCAGTTTGAATGCCCCTTCGCGTCTCCCCATCCCAGCCTCTTCTTCATCCTACAGTAAGTATTTTGATGCTGAAACTTTGATGTGACATCCTTTTCCATGTCGGTACACAGCGATGGCCCAAACATACAATTATACCTACAGCTCAGGATGGAATACAAGCAGCTGTTTTAATAAGGGTTTTCTTTCTCTCCTCCCATGGCTCTGAAATAAGAGCAAAGGGAATAGAGAAAATGACTGCTCAAGGAAATTACTGTTTTTTATGAATGTTCTTCTCTGCCACATTTATTCCTGTGCTACAGCACAGGAGAACACACCAGCATTACTCAGTGATTATTCTGGAGTTTGCCCAGCATTCTCATACTCGGAGGTGATGCATAGGTAGGCTGGAGCTGCAGTGTTCCTCCTGCTCGGCGCTATTTTTCTTCAGCTTTGTCACACGTATCCTCGCTGCGGCTTGCTGAAAAGGACCGGTAATGGAATGAGTTACCTGGGGTTGGACTTGGTACGGTAGCCAGCTAACCGTCAATTCCCATCATTCACGGAAACGTGTTTTCTTCGCTGCTCTCGGGCAGTTCTTGTGAATAATGTGCGGCAAGAGCTGCCAGAGGAACAGCCTCGCAGGCAGCGACGGTCTCTGCTGTGGTATCCCCTTCTCCCAGCCAGGGAGCAGTGAGGTACCGGGGGGCTGTGCTCGGCAAACTTCTGTGCAGAGGTAATAAGTGAAAATGCCTTGTCTTTATTTCAGGATGCAGAAAAGGAGGAGAGGGTACAAGAGCTCCTTTGGCAAGGCACAGGATTACATTTTGGGTTTGTTCACTTTTAGGTAACCTGCTCTCGCTTTAACTAAAATCTGGCATCTTGGATCAGTAACTGCAACACTGCACGTAAGCAACATCGGTAAATTGAGACGCTGACCTTCGCTCCTCATTGTGATTTTCAGGTGCTTATGGAATTGTGGAAGGGAGAAGGGAAGACTCCTCTCGAAATCATTAAAGAAAAGAAACTTGAGCTGATACAGGATCAAAAAGAGCTTGAACAGATCTGCCAGGCGGTGATTGATGGACAAGAAAATGAGGTGATTATGATGGTGCTGGGAAGCTTGTGCACTACAGCGGTCTGTGGCACTAAAAAGGGGGTTAAAATGGCCTCTCTGCTTTTTTTTTCCTTTTGATTGGCCTTTGAGCTCTAGAGCCAGTCTAGGAGCATTAAAGCTGCTGCTGAGATACTATCAGGCTTTTCTTCTCCTTTCTTATTTTACTAAGTGTCTTTTTTTGTTGTTTTTTTTTAAATTGAAGCTTAGACAAAATGATGAGCAGAAGAAATTACCAGTCTGGCTACTGCACTAAGTCATTCTGAGAGAACATAAAAAATTTAATGCAGGAAAGCAAAACTGCCCCTCTTCAGCTATACTGCTTTTAACCTGACCTGCCCACCCGGCCACATAACTCTGATTTTTATGTCATCTGTTGTGATATTAGGGCAGCACAGTTAAACTGCTCTGACGCTGGAGATGGAGATTATCTGCCAGCGAGCTGTCTAAGTTTCGTAGTTAGAGACTGTATCAGAGCTGGCAAGGCAAAATTTTGACTTGCATCTGTCTCTTCGCTGTGTCTTTCTGGCAGTGGAGGGAGACAGGGACTCGCTCTCCTGCCTGACGATGTCTGTGGGGTGGGGAGGAGCTGGACCCCTGCGGCATCGGTGGCTCCGGCAATGGTGTCCGCTCTGCCATCCTGCTGCGGGGCTGTGGCAGCAGCACAAATGCTGCGGCGGGGAACATGGGGCTTTGGCCCTTCCCCATCTCCTTGGAAGGACACACGGCAGCCTGCGTGGCTCAGCAGTCTAGAAAGGTCTGAGCCGAGGAGAAAGGGAAAACAACCTTGCTGGTCGTGAAGGGGAGGGGTGGGAAGGGATCTTGAGAGAGTCTAAAATCTGCTTTATAAAAAGCAAAACAAAAGCAAGTGCTTATATGTTCTCTGGAGTGATAATGTAAAAGCAGAAGTGAATAGCTTACTTCTAATGCAAACACTGTCTAGATACATTTGCCATTTGGGAAAAGCCATTAACATCTTTTGAGAACAATACCACCCACCCCGGATCTCATTGGGGGATGCTAACAGCTCCGCAAGAGCTTTTGATAAAGAAAATGAGCTGGCAGTAGGTCGGCGTGACCTCCATCAGACTGACTCATTTGCAGAGCCTGATAAAAGTGCTGCTGTATTTTCCGGCTGGTGGAAGCACAAGTGTGGACAGAAAGAACATTAGGGCTGATTGGGAAGTGCAAAAGGTCCGTAACTACACTCCCATTTCAATAATGCTGCTTTCTCCAGGAATGTAATACCTCTCTGTTTTCCACTGTTTTAGTCAAGCCAAATGCAGCAGAATGGCCTCACTCCCCTACTTTTTTCCAGGTGGTCTTTTGCCAAGGCAAAAGCTGCCTTGAAGGCCTGTAATTCACTGCTTGAAATTGCTGTGAGAGCTTACCTTACAAAATAGTGCTAGCTGAGTACTTGACAGGTGAGGGGAAAAAGTATGCTGTGCTTTTTGATAGTTAACTTTCTTTAAAATGAATTTACAAACAGCCGCTCAAGCCAACACTGAGCAGCTTATGAAACTGAAGTATCTGGATTGTGCTGGATTCTGCCCCATATAGGTAATTTCTAGCAGATAGGAGCAAGAAGTCCTTTCCATATTGTGACATTAGAGAAGATTCTAGACTGCCAGTAACGCGGATACAGTAATGAGTAGCAATATTTGCATTTGTGCTTGGTATTGGCACAGGGCGTGGTTCATATGTTCACAGTCCTTCCCTTAATACCCGTAAACAGGACATCTTACTCAATTTGAAGCTGTTGTGTTTTGGCCAGTGACTCTGACAATGTAGAGAAAATCTTCCCTGCTCCACAAACACTACGAAGGCCCCATGCTTGTCTTTCAGCAGTAGCATCTCCTTTAGGAATGCCCAAAAGTGAAATTTCCAGTGCTTTCCCCCCCTCCCCCACAGTGTCTTTACTTAGCTTTTAAATATGGCTTTTGCTATTTTGCAGGTGATTGTGCATCAAACGCTCGCTGTCTGATAAGAGGTCGTATTTCTGATCAGTTAATTAATTGCTAGGCTGCAAAGGATTCCATGCTTAAAGGAAGCAACATGCTGTTACAAAAACACCTACACCTGCACTTGAAGGACCTCACGAATATTATCAAATAGATGACGATTCGGTGCAAATTACTTGTTGTAACTGAACAGCATGTTGAGTAAAAAGGTACAAAAAGAAGTCAGTCTGATTTTTTTTTTTCTGGCTTTTTTCCAGAAAGTTGCTGCAGACACCATTAAAATCCCAAAGTGTTTTCTGACTTTTCCACTAAGAGGCGATCTATTGGCTCTAAGGCCCTGCTGCAGCAGGGACCTGCTCTTGCCTCATGGGAGCAGAGCAGGAGCTTATTGGAAAGCTGAAGGCAGTTTTTATAAAAGTATCTTAGCCCAAAATATGCTATTCTACCACAGTTCTCCAGAGGACAAAAATATTCATACTTTGGCTGTGAACAAGTGAAAATGTCCAGGTTTCCTTGTAACACTGCTCTCTGTTTGTTGTTTGGTTGTTTTTTTTCTTTCAAGGTTACGGCGATAAAAGCAGGAAATCGCAAGGTTCTAAATAAGTTAATTGGCCTGGTACAACGAGAAACACAAGGACGATCCAATCCTGTTCTGGTGAAGCAATTATTAGAGAAGAAGCTGTCAGAGTAGCCATGAGAGAAAACCATCCAAGTGTCTACAGAAGACGTGCTTTGTTCTGTCTTGTTCACTGCAAATGAATGTCAGCGCCTCCTCACGTAGCATCAGGATTATTGGCTGGATGTGAAGCCGCGTTACGTCCTCGCCCTCCCCGGCTGCATCAGCCAGAGGCAGATGAGCCAAAGACTATCAGGAGACGATACAGGCCTTTGGCATCTCCCTCACTTGGGTGTGGCAGTTGGAAATGGGATTGCCACAGCGCAGTGGGAAATGACCTCCCCGGGGTGCCTGTGAGCATGCAGAGAGCTGAAGCTGTATTGGTTAGTTTTGTCCTAAAGCGAGTGTAAGCTCAGCTTTTCTAAGCTGCCTCTTTGTGAGGAGGGAAATTCACAGTTCTGGAATGCAAAAGGCTGGTGGTACACACCAGCAACCCACTGTAAATCAGGACGTGCTCACTAGTAACAATGATTAAAACACCTAGCAGAAGGAGAAAAACCTGTCCACTGCTGTCATTCTGTTTGGTTTCTGAGGGATGGGTAAAGGATGAAGTCACTGACTGCTTAATTAAATTCCTGAGGCTAGTGCCACAAACGGATCCAAGTGCCTACATCTAAGAATGAGCATCAAATTGTTTACTCACCTTCTCGTTCTGTGCCCAAACATCTGCTTTGCCTCCTGTCTTGCAGCTCTTTGGGTTGCGAAGGGCTGTGTGCCTGAGCCCTTCCCAGGTTCACATCCCAGGTTTTTTTTTTAGCAGAGCAGCTGTACTTGTGCCAGCCCTGCAGAGGAACATGCAGTACCTTTCTCTTCTGCAGTAGCTCCATAAAGGGACTGTTTCCTCCAGTTTTGGGGGGTGTTTGTTTGTTGTTGGGTTTTTTTTCTCTGCTGGTGAGAACCTGACCCTGTGGTGTTACAAATGCTCCCAGCCCAGAGCTGCGTGCTTCTCTGACCTGTGTCATTCTGCTGGCACCTGCATCTGCACTGGAAGGAACTGAACAAGCAGGTGAGTCACCAAAACTGAAGAGGACTCAGCTGGATTTTGGGGTCTGTTCCATTATTTCATTGTAAGGAGCATTTTAGCCTTTTTTAAACAAAAAATTATATTTTTGTACCTTCCATTTTTCAGCTCTTAGCTTGAGGAAATCACTGAAATCCAAGGTCCTAGAGCTAACTTCCCAGTCCTGACCCATTTTAGCTGGTCAAACCGTTACCAGGAAACTCAACGAGAGGCAGCCTATCAAATTTACATTTTTTAAAGAAATCCCATTTAGTACCAGGTGTTTGAAGTTCTTAAATCCCTTCTGGAGGCTGCTAAGCCATACATTTTAAAGATCACATTTATCTCAGACCTCAAAGATAGTTCCTTGGAATTGTTCTTTCAGATCTGCCTGCAGGGCCGACAGCGTCACTGGAGCACAGCTGCTGTGGCCCTGGGACTTGGGTCACCTTCTGCAACTGAGGTCCCTGCACGACTCGTTCAGACTCGGCTGAGAGCAGTTCATTCTCCCGAGGAACGTGCCGATGTATGTCTCGAGGAGGACATTTCTGTACAAGAGGGCTCGCTGTTCAAGTGTGAACTGTTAATTAGAAGAAAAAAAACCCTGTGGTTTTTCAAATACATTTAATGAATAAAATGCATACCCATTAGTCACATAAAAATAACTTTACAATTCAAAAGTCGTGCAGCTGACAGAAAACGGTAATGAGGTTGCAATCAAAAAACATGACTGTTCAGAAAAAAAAAAAACAACCAAAAACAAACCTCCAAAACTGCCCCCCAAAAATGTACAACCTCAAACCGCCCCGGATTTTAATATAACTTGACCTTCACATAAAGGCTTTTACTACCGCTTTTCACATCACGAGCAAAAAGTACTATTTTTACTTTAAGTGGTGTGAGTTTTCAGTAAGTTTAGATTATACAGCAAACTTAAAATTTTGGATTCTGTAGAACTCTTGCTCTGGCAGCAAGACACAAAAAGGCACGAGGGCTTCTGCATGAAATCATCAATCTTAATTTAAAGGTATTCCTTCAGTTTAGAAAAATACAATTGTTTCCAAAAGGTGGGTCTCTAAGGTTAATGCTTTTTTTGATGCTGCTGTGCTTAGTTTCCCTTCCGCTGTAGTGGGTGTCTTTAAAACAAAATAAAAATTAAAGCAAAACAACAACGTATTTGGAAGAGTAATAATTAAGCTGCATTTAAACTAAGGAAGGATCTCCACTCCAGTAGCATGGCTACTGGTGGTGGGTATCTTTTTCACAGGGCCACTTCTTTGCTCCTCTTCCTATGTAATGACACTTTGCTAATATGGTACAAAATTTGTTAAAACTCAGGAGCCAAGTTCCATAGGAGTAGAGTCTGTAGGAGAACAGGGTTTAACTCAGATGAGATCAAGATGATGAATATTTCTGAAGTTTCTGGAGATACCAGCTACCACCACCGCCAAA